CGACCAACACTGTAACGGTTGTTATTACGGGAAAGCACACCAACAGAGAAGAGGCTAAGGACTAGAAGTGCCATGTGATTATCACTTTATCGGCGATAAAATGTTTGATAAACTGGCTCAAATCCAAAATACAGTAAGTCTTATCATTCACAAACTGGTTAAACTGATAACTTATTATTAATCTTAGAAATAGAACAAATAAAAGTTATTGAATTAAGTGCTCGATTACGAGAGATTGAAAACAATCGAAAAAGTCAATTGCGAATCGCTGAAAGAGTCTGCGTCCGCTTACAAAAAAGTCCGAATGGAATTTGGTTTCTAGTTGAAGCAAAGCAACTTCAGGAAATCGATACAAATGCGTGAATTTATGTGATATACCCATCTGTTTTCTAATTTTCAAGAATTAAAATACCGACATATCTAATGTAGTCCAACTGTTCTTCTTTGTGGGAAGGAAGAAAAGTCCTCTGAAGGGGATCAAAGTAGGGACACCAAGTGAGAATGAGTCTATAGAGTGCTACCTGTCACTTGCTGAGTCTGGGTGAGCCTTGAAAAATACAGTGTGGGCTACCTGTGCCATCCTGCAGTAGCAGGCGTTCCTCTTTACATTCATCAATTTCGTTCCCAGGGCTTCTCTGCTCGATATTTTTAAAATATCATACAGAGAAAGCCCTTGCATCGGCCTGTCACGTGACGCCCACTATAGCTGCTTGTTAAGTGTTGATTACCGCCAAATGCAGGCACTCTTTATTAGTTGTTCGTCAAGATGGTGATGGAAACAGTGCAAAGTAAAGGCTGGGTTTTGTTTTTGATCAATTATGGCGAACCATTTTGAATTTGGCGGGTATCTCAAAGGCGGAGATGGCAACGGAAGAGGACTCGATAAATTATGTCTGTACAAAAATGTATTTTTTGATGAATTTTGAATTTTGTGGTTCTTGGTCTGACAAAGAACAGATTGAGTCTTTAGTTATTTTAGTCACTTTTGTGCACGTTGTAATATTTTCAAGGCACATAACAACCAAGACACGCAAAAAAAAAATCGAAAAAAGAAAAGATCGAGAAACATAATATCAACCCACCTTATAGCCAGAACAATAATAATTGTAATAATTATTACTCGGGGTTCCTGTGGAACGCCGAGTATTAATTTCGGCTTTATTTTTTGCATTCATCGCCAAATCGCGGCCAGACTAGCCAGGCGTTCCTAGCCTGTCTTGTCTCGTCCCATGCTTCAAGTGCTAATTGCATCAGCTTCTCCGTCGATATGGACTTATGGTATTTCTTCTTCAAAAAAAAAATACGCTCAAATCACTCACAAGTACACACGCGGTATAGCCACATTAAAAGATGTCGACCGTTTTCGGAATGGGCTTTTTGAAAAATACCGCGAATTTATCAAGCTTATTGTGACTTAAGTTATGATACACAAGCCATTTAGGCTATATCCAAAGCCGACCGAAGACAATCATAAACTACAGGCCTTCTATCTTAAAAGCTACTGATATTCAAAGCTCTAACTACTATAAAAGAACAATAGACTCAAGTGCCGATTGTCAACAAAACTGCACAGGTAAAATAACGAAGGATTGCAAACAAAGGATCAGCGAATGGTATTTGCGTTAGACCAAATCCGGGACCAAATGTCTGTCAAAGTAAGGACAATTCTTGGTCAACAATAATGATATTAATACATTTTCTTTTTTTACTATTTTCAATCCAAGGAAGGATTTTTAGTWTTACATTATATTTGATAATTATAGTTTTTATTATTCTTTGCAATAATTGCGGTAAATTTATCAAGTCAAAATTATATAGTGACCAAAAATATAATAAATTCTCAGTCCAGTTGATAGCATAATAATTAAGACTTTAAGTCTTAACATATCAACTGGACTGAGAATTTATTATATTTTTGGTCACAGCAAGAATAAATGAAACTACATATTCTATATGTATCATTAAACCAAGAVACTACACTAAAAAGAACCCCGAGTGCACGCTGACAAGCGTCTTGTATAATAATAATAATAATTATTATTATTATTAGCCAGAACATATCAAAAAACAATGCGAAATCCTTTCTTCGCCTCGTAGATGAAAATTTTCCAATGACTCACAAGTTTAGAAAATTTTTCGACCGAAACAACCTAAACTCGAGCTACAATTGCATGCCGGATAAAAGCAGCATCATTAAAAGACACAATAAAAAGGTCCTTAATGCAATCGCTATAACATAAGGTGAATGCACCTGTAACCAGAAAAACCTCTGTACTCTCGGCGTTGAATGCAGAACGAAAAGCATTGTTTACCAAGCTAACCTCATACCAGCGTCATTTGCCACAAAAATCTATATTAACCGATAACAAAACGAGCAGGGGCCTGGGACTGAAAATTTTAAAAGTGMTACAATCTT